CTCAGTGCAACTCCTCTCATGCTGTCATGACAATACCACAGGCAATGAAAGATGTAAGGGTCATGCAGATGGGCCCAAAAGAGTAGTGATGATGATGATGATGATGATGATAAAATTTTATTTATACCCCGCCCCTCTGAGCACAATCAGGGCAGCTCACAACAGTTAAAAATACATAAAATGCAAATTCAAAGGCCAATACTCACCCACCCCCTTTAAAAGAGTATTAAACAAACACTAATTAAAACAACTTGGGTTAAAACATAGAATTACTTAAAACCACTAACCAAACAAAGAATAACAATCAGCAGAGATAACAAAACAAAATCAGCAGGGTAGCGGAAATGGCGGTGGTGATCAAATTGGAAGAGGGCAGGATAAGGGGTTTCCTGAGGCCGGGAAGTCTATTCTGGAAAGGCCTGCTGGAAGAGATCTGTCTTAACAGCCTTTTTAAAGCTGTTTAGCACGGTAATCTGATGGATCTCATCCAGCAGGCCATTCCATAATCTGGGGGCAACTATCAAAAATGCCCTCTGGGAGGTTGTAGACAGTCTAGATTTTAATGGCTGTAGCAAATTCCTCCCAGAGGAACGGAGTGCACGGGGAGGATTGTATGGGAGAAGGCAGTCCCAAAGATAGGTTGGACCCAAACCATTTAGGACTTTAAAGGTAATAACCAACACCTTATACTGGGCCCGGAAACTAATAGGCAGCCAGTGGAAGGACTTTAACACCGGAGTTATATGGTCCCTCCTAGATGTTCCAGAAACCACTCTGGCTGCCATGCTTTGTACTAACTGAAGTTTCTGGACCAAGCACGAGGGTAGCCCCATGTAGAGCGCATTACAGAAAACCAGGTGCAAGGTTACCAGCACGTGCACAACAGTCTTGAGGTCCCTTACTTCCAGAAAAGGGTGCAGCTGGCGTATCAGCTGAAGCTGATAACAGGCGCTCCTGACTGTCGCATTTACCTGATTTGTCATCAGGAGCAACGAATCAAGGAGCACCCCCAGACTGCAAATGCAGTCCTTTATGGAGAGTGTGACCCCGTCCATAACTGGAGGTCGCAACCCAATTTGGGGTCGCTACCATTAGCATCTCTGTTTTGTCTGGATTCAGTCTCAATCTGTTTTTCCTCATCCAGCCCATTACTGCCTTAAGACATTCATTGAGGGAAGAGACACCATCAGAATTCAAGGCCGACAAGCGAGACATGGAGAAATAGATCCGGGTGTCATCAGCGTACTGATAACACCCAACTCCATGACTCTGATTGATCTCACCCAGTGGCTTCATATAGATGTTAAACAACATCGGGGATAGAATGGCACTTTGAGGGACACCACATAAGCTCCTTTTTGCTGGAGTGACTGTCCCTGAGCAGCACCCTCTGGGATCTGCCCGAGAGGAAGGAATGGAACCATTGTAAAGCAGTGCCTCCAATTCCCACCCCTCTCAGGCGATCCAAGAGGATGCCATGATCTATTGTATCAAAAGCCGCTGAGAGGTCTAAAAGCACCAACAAGGTCACACTACCCCTGTCGATGCTCAGACACAGGTCATCAATCAAGGCAACCATGGCAGTCTCAACTCCAAATCCTGCCCTAAAGCCAGTTTGAAATGGGTCTAGATAATCAGTTTTATCCATGGTGGCTTGGAGTTGAAGAACAACTGCCCTCTCAATTACCTTGCTCAAAAATGGTAACAAAGAGACTGGGCTATAGTTGCTCATATCCAGGGGGTCCAGGGAAGGTTTTTTCAGAAGCGGCCTGATGGCTGCCTCCTTCAAACAAAATGTAAGATGACCTTCCCTGAGGGATGCATTGACGATGTCCGTAAGGAACATCCTCAGTGCATCCCCCCCCTGGATGGCCAGCCAAGATGGGCAAGGATTGAGAGGACAGGTTGTTTTCCTCACTCTACCAAGGAGCTTGTCCATGTCATCGGTATTCACAGATTGAAAATGATCCAGGATAATTTCATTAACGGAGTCGCTGGACACCTCATCAGTTGTTTCTGTCAAAACACTGGCATCTAAGTCGGCTCTTATCTGAGAGATTTTATCTGCAAAAAAGTTGCTAAACGCATCGCAGCAGTCCGCTGTTGGGTTAAGTAACAGGACCTGGGCAGGAGGTACCTGCATCAGCTCCCCGACCACCCTAAACAGCTCTGCTGGATGGGACTCTGCAGACGCAATATGTGCAGAACAGAATGATCTCTGTGCTGCACGTATTGCTGCTTGATAGAACCAAAGAAAGTTCCTATAATGAGTCTGGTCAGATAAGAGTTGAGTCTTCCGCCAGGGGTGCTCTAGTCGTTGTCCAACCCGTTTCATTTTTCTAAGCTCTGCTGTAAACCATTGCTTCCGATTAGGATCAGGTTGGAAAGGACGCTTGGGAACGATCGTGTCAATAGCCTTGGTAAGATCGGTGTTCCAAGTATTAACCAAAGCTTCGACAGGTTCACTGGCGTTATTAACCATTAAACCCTCCAAGGCTTTCTGGAATCCAATTGGTTCCATTA